GTAACTGGTACAACTGACTAAAATGAGCGAGGGGTTGACATTTTTCGACAAATTTAAGCAACACCCAATTTGCGATTTTTAAAATTACTGAAAATAATTACAATATAAATATAAAAAATAAAGAATGGTTGTTGTATACACACGCTAGATATTACTTGTCTAAATGGGCAAAGACCAAAGTGTTTTGCAATATTACAAGTCATCTTGCTAACTGACTGCCCGAATAATTCTCACAACGATTGTAATGACACCATTTTTAAGGCCTCCATGGTTGCTGACTGTGAAGCCTGCAATGAACCACATGATTTACTAATTACACAATCATCAGAAACTTAAGTAATTTCACTTTGAATCTTCTCAGAGTACATATGATAATTTACCAAAAGGTTGTGAGGTACAGTTAGTGCAAGCCATTTACAAAGAAGTTCATGTACAAAGTATGATTCAAGTTGACAGAAGATCAGTTTATGCAATACTTTCAAATCTGCTTGATACAAGGATCAAAGGTACATTTATCAATGCTACTGATCATTGCGTAATGCATGTGTCAGATTTGTGTTGATAAACATTAATTTTTCTATAATCCCATATTATGAGCTATTAGGTGTGCATGGGCTCAGAGGACATGGAGGACAAGAAAGGGGGATTAAAATACGTCTTATTTTAATGATCCAGCATGATGTAAATGCAAGTTCTTGCTTATTTGACGTTTTATTTTGAAATGTGCTTCTAATAGAGCAAATGCATTAGAAACTACAATAGTTACAACCAATCAAAACAGACTGTTCAATGCAGCCTATATCTGAATTTAACTCTGTTATTCTCCAGATTTACAAAGTCTTGGAAGAGATTTTGTGTTTGGTTACATCCAGTGTATGGATGGTGAGAAAGATCCAAGGAATCTGACGATGATATTCCGATGTGTACCAATTATTATTCACAACTTTCCCATTGGTAAGGACTGCATCAAAAAATATGTACACAATACACAATTCCAATTATTTGCACCCACTACCAACAAAAGAACATGAATGGGTGTAACAAATATGATCCAATAAAAAACTGGATATAGTTCTTAATCACTCATCATTTTCAATAATAAAATCTTTTATTAATAGCCGTCCAAAAATCCACATCTTCAGTCCTTAATCCAATTCTCATTACCAAATCACTGTCACTAGATGGATTTATTAAACAGATGTGGTAAATAATTATTTGTTTCTGGTGACTGTTTACTGTGGAAAACAGACCTTGAACAATTATAATATGCACCGCTAGTAATGTTCTTAGGGAATTTCTTGAGTACTTTGGGTTTGTGTACACGCCTTGTATTTTGCACCTACTGTAACATTTACACATTTTTCAATATTTTAAACAAAGTTTGCACATTTTGATCAAAACAGTTGACTTTGGTGTTTATGTGAGTAATGGTTTTTAATTTGGTTGACTGATAGAAAGTATTGCTTTTAATAACCTTTTCACCACCAAATTTGTCTGCACTTTTTTTTTATATTCTTCAATATTTCTCGAAATGGAGCCAGCAGACAAAATTTGAGTCAATTTTCAGTTTTTACTCAAAAAATATGGTTATCTTTCTTCCAATCTTCTGAAGGGAAGTGCAGACTATAAACGGAACTATTTTGTAAATTTGTGATGAAAAGAGGGATCTGGTAGTGAAAAGGTTAATGGAATATTTATATTCAGTTGAGTGACTGTGATTGAAACCACAAAGTAGTGAAATTCAAATATGAGAATTTTGATGTCGATAATCCAGCATTTGTTTTATTTTGTGTACTGGTAGATGTTTTCATTGAAGAACTTTTTGAAGTTGTGTCATGCTACTTTCCCATTGATTTCACTCCTCCGCCAAATGATCCCTACAAAGTCACACAAGAAGAGCTCGTCTTAGGTCTCAGAAAGTGTCTCGCCGCGACGCCAAAATTTGCAGAGGTGAGAAAAAAAAATCTTTCCTAGATTTTGATTCGCTGAGATCACAATTTTTTAGGCAAAAACTGTAATAGTTATTGATAAGGAAATATTAACTATATGTAAGACACCTAAGCAGTCCTGTGAATATCCAAGAAACTTTGTAGCTTCCATGAATATTAACCTTTATTGAAGAGGATAATATCTTAATATCTCTTTTTGAATACCGTATGTTGTGAAGCTAGCTTTTGAATAAAACTGTTGCATTTGTATATGAATGAGTGATGTATTCAAAAACTTAAATTAAATTATCACAATATATTAAACTCTTAAACTTTCTGTGGACAACTAAATAAAACTTGAAGTTATTTAACCAAATGAATGGCACTTTTGCAACCTTCCTTCTTTCAAAGATTATAAAAACATATTTGGTACAAAATTGGAAGCAAGTTTGATGAAAACTAGCATTAAACTGAATATATATGAAATCAATGTATGATAGCCTATCTAGAAGAGAACCCAAAACTTGTTTAATGTGTTATCGTTCTTTGTTAGCATTGTTTGCCGTTGTTGATGGAGAAGTTATCGTCTGATGTGCAGCGTGCAAAGATTGATTCTTTTCTCACATTAGCCGAGTGTTGTGAAGTGTATGGTGAAGATGATCTCATGGAGTTTTTACCCGCAATGTGGTCAACAATAAGACGAGAGGTATAACATTGTAGAGTTGCTGTTAGTCTACTTTTTCAGAAAATGTTTTCAGTAAAATTTCCTAATTTGAGAAACATTTTTTTTTTAATTCTACTCATTTTGTATTCAAATGACCTGCCTCAAGTGTTTTTTTTGGATGAAAATATTTTAATTTTGTGAAAGACACAGTTCTCAAGATAGTGAAAATCAGATTGGGAAAATTTATAATGCAACGTAGCAAATTTCTCTAGTGTTCCATGGTACATGGTTTCAGTGACAAATATAATCAAATACTGTTGAATACTTTATTTTCGCTTAGAATTGATTATCGCTATTTTCGATAATGGAATGATTTAGTAAAAATAAAATCCAGCGAATATACCTTTTTTCCTATATTTTACATTCACTCATCAAAAATCAGTTAAAATATATTCCATACAAAACATCTAAAAAGTCTATTAAGCGAAAATCAATTCCAGCTAAAATAAAGTATTTTACAATAGCGAAACTCTGTATTTTTATAGATATTACTGTCCTCTGTAGTTTATATAATGAAAGTAATCTTGTTGTGCTATGAAATATGGAATAAATTACATGTAAATTAATCTTAAAATTATGTCTTGTGTTCATTTCATTTAGGTGTTCCAAGCTTTTAGTCATGAAGTAGAAAAATCTGCTTTAACTTGCCTGTGTTCTATTGTGAAAACACTGTCCAATGCTGTCAGCAATGCCAATAAAGCCGCTGGTGGTTTGGATGAATTTTTAGACTTGGTCCTAAAAGGTAAGTAACAGTTTAATCTGATTAATTTCCTTTTATTTTCATACACAGTGAGAATACTAAAAGATTTTACAATTTGTAATCTTGTTTTGTTTTTTTCTAACTTATTCATTGTTTATGATGAGCCTTACTAAAACATAAATGTTTACATAGAGACTTGTTTCTACGACTGCGACTCAGTAAGCACAAAACTTTGGCATAACAGAAATATGTGTCAAAATTGGTCATAGTTCAAGATCAAATAGCATGTTTCAAATTATGCCACAAAGCATTTAGTTAAATAATTAATTATGCATGAAACATTCTTATAACCATTGTAATATAACAAAGATGTTGGTAAGGTGATTCACACCAAGTCACAGTCAGGTTGACTATACCAGGGATGACTATACCAGTTTTATTTTGAGTAAGATGTATGGGTGAATTTTGTTCAAAACTGAAAACTTTTACTGAATGCTATTCCAAAGCCATATTTCTGACATGCCCTGACCTGATTTTGTTCAAAATTCACATATACATGTACATCATTTCATACATGTGCACCTGAATTGGTTTCATGTTGCAATTCAAGAAATGGCATTCATTGCAGAATGGGATAAAATCGACATTTATGCACAAGTCTGCTTCAATATGGCTGACTGGTTTTAGTTTAGTTCACTATTGCATAAAACTGGACTGTTCTCTCAAATAAGTAAAGTAAGTAAAATTTTTCAGCAAAATTATTGCAATATTTGTGATTCAAAATTCAAATGCTGATTTACTGGTAATGTATTTTCTTCACAGATTGTAGTAAACATTTACGAGACCCTGGACTGCGACTGATGTTACCAACTAGTAAGTTACTGCAGTCTGCTGCCAGTGCATCAGATCCAGCTTGTTATAAAATCATTTCTGCAGTTGTACCGATATTACTGGAGCAGTTCCATAAGTGCAAACAGGTATACAAACGGATTTCATCTATTTCTTGTATGTTTGGTTGTACATGAATTTCCTGACATTTTTTTTTATCCGGGTACTTTCACCGCAGACAATGGGTGAAAAAAAATGTACTTTGGGACTCTACTGAACAGTGTACCGCTAAATGTACAACATGTATAAATTTGGTTGCTCAAGATTTCCACAAAATTATGTTTGTGCTGTTTTCTTGATTTTATCTGTTTTCGTCAGCCCCTCAACTGGTGTTCCACAGCCACTTGCAGATAGCCCATAGGAATACATGGTACAGTTGTGCACATAGAATGTTCTGTGACATAGCTCCGCTCCCGAGAATAGGGTATTTGTATATCAGGGAATACTTGTATGTAAATTTGGTGACCAAATTCTTCTAGTTAGTCTTTCTGAAATAAAGAGAAATCTCATGATTTATTAACGTTTCACAATAACTAATGCAAGAAATCCAAGTGCACTTTTAAAAACATAATCACACAGGCTGAACTGTGGATTTTTCACCAGAACATTACACTTTACCGACAACAGTCAGGTTGAGGTTGTTATGCCATTTATTGATGTTAGGAGAGGTCATTTAGATGGTGGATAGGATACGATTATATCATTAAGGACGTTCGTCTGTAGCATTATTACAATCAAATATTATCTAAACAGGTGTGAGAGTTTTATTTGCACATTTTAAGATTAAACGAAAATTCATGTTTTAATATCAAAGTGTGCACATGAAGACGTTTGCATGAAAATCTCATCTTAAACATCATGTCAAATTGCTGTATAATTTGTCGCTGACATCACTCATATGAACGAGCTCTAAGGGCAGTCATATCATGTGATAACCCCATATTATTTGACCACAAAATGAATCTTGTTTTGTCTCTATTCAGGTGAATGAAAGAGTCTCTCTGCTGCATGCTGCATTGGATTTCATCAAAGTCTGTAAAAGTTTCACCTTTGGAGATGACACCCCAAGTCCAGTTATTCCATTCAAAGACTCCCTAGCTTCTCTGTTTTTATCACTTCTCAGTGATCACAGCTCTCAGCTACGATGTATTGGAATTACTGGACTGGTTGGACTTATGTCATTGAATGCAATTATGAATATTAATGAGAAGAAGCTTGCAGCTATGCATTTCACAAATATAGTTCTGACAGATCAAGATAACAAAGTTTGGTAAATAGTGTGGGACAGTGTTTTGTCTCATTGTATTTTCCCTTTGTGTCGTTCTCTCCAACAATTTAGACCAAAAATAGCCAGCAGTTACTTTTGTGTTGGTATATATAACACAGATTAAATTGATACACTAAGCAAGTTTCAAGTTCTGTCATTACCTTTAGAAAGTTGTGCGCTCTGGTGTGAAAACGTTCTAATTCACCTTGATCATCAGGGAAACCAACGAATAAATTGCGTGAGCTAGCACTAAATCTCCCATTCCTGATGGACTGATGGCGCTATGACTAAAAATACATCTATTGTTCTCTTCTTATTATAAGAGTGTACTGGTAGTGTAATCGTTTTTTCAAATAGAGAAAAAAAGGTTTTGTCTTGTTTTGTCAGAAAAAATTTGAAAATAATAGAACTTGTTCAAAAGTTCAAGTTTCTGACTTTCATTCTTGTTCACAGTTCTGAAGCTGTGACAGCGCTGGCTTTTATGTCCATGGAGTTCTCATTATTAGTAAAAGAGGAAGTCCTACCACAACTGATCAAAGAACTTGGTGAGTGGTTTATTTATTCATATTAGGTTGTTTCCTTTTGTTCCATTTTGTTGTGTATTTGTATTATACACATTTTACCCATACTCGCTGTATAGGAATAAAACATTTTTCCTCTATATTAAATATTAAGACTGTATTTAATTGTAATTTGTATGATACCAACCAGATATCTTGATAATTGAATCCATCAATCAATTGAATCAATCAAGTACGTTGCTGCTATTGCTACCATGAAAAAGAATTAATTTGGGCCATTCTGTACTGTTTCCCAAAACCTTGCTTGCACTGACTAGTTAGTGGTAGCCCCCACTCCTGATGAATCTATTGCAGCAGGGGACATACTATACCTTGGCATTGAGCACATCTTCTCTATATGTTCTAAAACATTGAAGATTATAGTAAGATTAAAAGTACATTATTATACATCTGTCATCATAATGACATAAGTTACAGCGTGCCGTAAGTTTGCGGTATTTTCATCCTACCATATAAGGAAATGCATATTCCGAGTATGGAATGATTATGCGCGTAAGCGTCCTCTAATAATAAAAACAAACATGGCTGCCACCCGGATCTGTTCTAAACATTTTGTATTTTGACATTCCCAGGGTGTAATCTTGGAAGGAAAAGATGTATAATAATAAGGTTATTACAAGGATACCTCAAAGTATGCACTCAGACAGTACGCCGTCACATCGACCTCCTCTGCACCTTGGTCGATACTCCCACTGTACTGTCTTTGTGCATACTTTGAGGTATTCTCATAATAACCTCATATTATAACTATACGGTCACTGACTTGATAGTAATGATAATACATTGTTACAACTTCTTCAACCAGATTTGCCATCTGATTAACAACATACTGCCCCAATACTTCTGAGGCTTACTGCAGTAAACTGACAGTATCTGTTAACTTTACTAATAGATAGCAGAGCCACCGGTACAAGACATCGTTTTATAGTAAATACATTAGCTGGTATATCCATGCATTCAGATATAGTGTTAACAACAATTCCAGTTATGCTGCAACATCTTGGCACACTCAGTGAAGGTAATTTTTTTTTAAAAAGATCATTAAGACATTTATAACCAGAATTATTTATAGAAACATCTAAACACATTGCCTGGTGAAAATGTCCACAAATAGGTTTATATACAACCACATTAGCAGTCATAGAGTACCCTAGTAGTTGAAAACTACCAGCACAATTGCTTTGATACTTTATGTAGGTACCTTGCATGGACCCATGTTACATTTGTTCATTTCGTGACCATATCTTCAATTCTCTTTTTTGCAAATATTTTTGTTATTTTTGGTAAAAATTTTACTTATAACTTCTTCTTGTAAACTACCAGCTCAATTGGTTTTATACTTGGCATATAGGTACCTTGGGTGGACCTCGGTCAGATTTCTTCATTTCATGATGATAACTTCAATTCTCTATTTTTGGTGAATATTATTGTCATTTTTGTTGAAAAATGCTATTTTGAACTTCTTGAAAACTACCAGCTTCGCTTTGATACATTGTCAGATTTGACTATTTCATAGTTGTATCTTCAATTCTCTAATTTGGCAAATATTTTTGTCATTTTTTTAACTTCTTCTTGAGAACTATCAACCTAATTTGATATTTGAAGTGTACATTATTTTTGTGAACAATTTGTTTGATGAAGTTCAGTTGACATGTTCTTAACAGCTAGAACCAAACTACTTTTTTTTTGGGGGGGGGGTTAACCACGTTTTGTCTTATAGGTGTGTGTTGCTTGACTTGGCTCCCACAATATTCTTGCAGGACAGTGGAGCTATATTAACCGCCCGGTTGTATGTTTTAGTGTGCATGGGACTGGTAATCAACTATTAGACTATCTGTGATTGTACACTGACCCACCTCATGAATTATATAATTTTATTTCTTATTTAGATAACACAGCTGAGTCCCTGGAAACTGCCGTCAATACCATACAGAGTATAGACATCGTAGTCAATTCTAATATATCAGATGAACAATGTCTAGACTTTTTCCATTCTAAATTATTACCACAACTTTTAAGGATAACCGTAGATCAAGCATTGCAAGTAAACAATTATATATTATGTAAAGAGGATGTTGTGAGTAGTATTGCTACTGTATGTCGCAATATTGCCAAGGTATTGGATGACAGGTGAGTCAATTTATGTGTTTGTGTTTGTCATCTAGAGAGAGAGCTACGAGTACTTAGTTTAAAACTTGATTGTAAATGAAATGGAAAAAAATGGCTTCACGCCATTATGATCACTGTACCGCCTTTGTGCATACTTTGCAGTATTCTTGTGATAACCAGTCATGATTAATTATTGAGGAATATAAACAATATTTACATATCATTTACATAAATTTACATAACATTTACATATCATTTACACACATTTATATAACATTTACATCTCGTATATATAATATTTAAATCTTGTTTACTTTTGTGAGCTCATTTCTCCAAAGCAACTACTACTACACCAGATTCATTTGACTTTTATTTTTTCAGGGTTGCTTCAAATCTTGTATCAAACACAATATCACTATTTTTAGATGGAAACCTTGAAAATATTGGTCTTAAACAATCATCACAACATTTTCGGCCATTGGAGGTGAGTTTGAGAACTTAATTGATTTATCTACAGTGATTTCTAGTGTATTGATCCAAATATTAATTATTATTAATTGTTGTGTAAGCATTTTTTAGCATTGTAGGTGTCAGATATTGGATTGAGGAGATAACATTTAATAATATCATTGTGACTGAATCTTGTGTTTACGTTGTAGATTTCATCACCATGGCAACATACACAGTTAGTGAGTCTGCTAACTTCTATAATTTGTTCAATGAAGACTTTTGAGTTGAGTTCACAATGTTTGGAATTGATGGAAAAACTACTGAAGCTGTCCTTGTCTAGTGAGCATCACCTTACCTGTGTGTCCGCTGCTAAATGCTACGCTGGACTCGTCAACAAACACAAACAAGGTATGGGTTGCCTTCATTGAATATGATGGAACCATATGGTTTCCATAGTGACATTTACTTGGCAATATTATGGAAATGAGCAATTGAATATGAATGATTAACCATATATAGATATGCCCATATATAGATATGCCCATATATGGACATCAATAATTTTCACCAACATCCTGAAAATCCATACCTGAGTACATTCAGGCAGTGTTATTAGATTTGAGAAGTCACACCCTATCAGTTGAACACAATCAATACTCTTCAATAGTCCCATGTACTGTGAGTGTTCTCAATACACATTACATAAAGAACCAAGGCATGGGTTTCCTATTGATGAATAAATTAAACAAAAAAACATATAAAGTACCTGTTAGTTGTTCAGGGGGTTGACGGGGATGGACTAGAAGAATGTGCTACTGTCTATATATTCAAAAACTGGTTAGTACTGTTCCTGCCATCCAGAAAAAGTGTATTTGCACTCTGGGTGCTAGGTAGTGAATCTTGCTAATTTCATCTCTGATTATTTGTTTTAAAGGTACTGATTTGGATTCCTCACTCGAGACTGTAGTTGAATCAACCTGTAGGATGCTTCAAGATGAGATTTCAGACCAAAATATTTATAACCGACAGAAGGCATTAACACTCTGGTTATGGGTATGTACTTATCACTGAAAACAAAGCAGATTTTCTAATTTACCATTAAAGTGCTACAGTAGCACATACATGATGCTTATGACAAAAATGTCTCTGTACTTGTGGTCACGATATTTTATTAATCCAGTATCCAACAAATACAATGTTTGGGTGTGTGTCTGCTGGCGCTGTCTTTTTCCATTCATTTTGGCTCTCCATGGAGGCTTTCAACAGGTCATGTGTTAACTATGTCACTATCGATGATATCCATTTTCAGATTTATTCATTTCATGACTGTATCACTCAAGTTTTCTTCTTCCATTTTGTTTTCAGGTGACTAAAGCACTGGTATTAAGAGCACATTTCAAATCAACGCAATTTACAACCAAGTTAATTTCTTTATTTGAAGACCATCAACTTTCTCAGATGGCAGCTGATGGTTTTTACATCATTCTAAGTGAAAGTCAAGATGTATTGAATAAAGATATGCATTGTGATATTAAATTAATGTACAGACAGAGATTATTTATGCAGACATTGCCAAGAATACTGGCAGGATTTGAGAAAGCAAATGAAGGTAGGATTTGTCACGAATACAAATCTATCACTCATTCAGCAGCCAGCTTGCAATAAATAATGCCACACTCAAAATTGGATATCGTTATACTTTGTATTGCCATCAAGATTGATTGCATTACTTTGACAATAAACATCCATGTAATCAAACTTGTATATATACACATGTATGTACAATCACAAGTCGCAATAGGTCAGTCACTAACTAACATTACGGTACATGGTCCACTACAATATCACTGCCATCACAGTCCATGGATTACTAATCATTCACTGTATTCAAGTATCTATATATCACTAAACGTGCAGCCCTGTGATATTGTTGCAACCAGTCATCATGATGCAGTTAGTCCACCATCAAAGCATTGAGAAACCATTCATTCATTTATTCATTCAATCAATCATTTATTCATTCATTGGAAGACCAATAGGAGCAAGTCCCAGGTGGAGATGTAGGTTCGTGGGCACTTGGGAGTGAAATATTTTTTTTTTTGCTTTTTATTATCCAGTCTTGGCTATAGACTGTTAACCTGGGTGTTAATTTAATTTTGTGAAAAGTGATGAAAGTTGACCTTGGTGGTCAAAGGGTTAATCAACTGGCTTTGTTTATTTCCAGACAAGAAACAATATTACTTGAGTGCATTGTCTCATCTCCTGCAGTTTATACCAAAACAAGTATTGCTAAGTGAGTTACCTCCACTGATGCCAATGTTAGTACAGTCGCTGTACTGTCAAGATGTTGGATTATACGTCTCTACGTCAGACACGTTGTCCATGCTGATACAGGATGCACCCACTGTAATATCACTGTATGTAGATACCTTGCTGCCACAACTATTGACATTAAGTACATATCAACAAAGTATGGTAAGTGAATATAAACAGTGGGAGTAGATAATGTAGATTTTAGGGGTTCATTGATTGCTTTCTTCCACTTAATTTCTCCAGATGTGCAGACTAAATTTCTCAATTTTTGCTTCCCAGTTTATACTATACATGCTCCATATTTTTATTCTAAATCAGACTCAAAATAACTGTCAGCCATATTGTTACTAAAAAACAACTGATTCTGTTAAAATTTGTTATGTTGGTAATACCTGTTAGCAAACTGAGGTATGTGGCTGACTGGTGGCCATTTGTACATAATACTTAATACATAATTATTTTTTGCACATTTCTGCTACATACAAAATGCACACTATATTTGTTACATATTAATGTTTTTAATTCCCTTTTTGTGGCATAGCCAAGAGTCAAACTCCTAATGTTAACCATTCCCATATACATCACCATGGCATAGTCGGGATTGACTCCTCTCTGCTGCTTTCCTTTCCATGGTGTTTTAACCTTTTCACCACCAGTTTTCTCTTTTCATCACAAATTTACAAAATAGTCTGCATTTATAGTCTGCATTTCCTTCAGAAGACCGGGACAAATATAGCCAAATTTTTTAGTGTTCATTTCCATAGATATTGAAGAATATAAGAAAAAAGTGCAGACAAATTTGGGTGGGAAAGTCTAGTGGTGAGGTTAAGCACATACTACTTATACAGATTCTACACTTTCTTTACTTGGCCTTTTGTCAATTTCTAACACATTAGGCATATGTTTCCTCTATAAGAAACTTAAAATCTTACAATACTTATTTTAATACACAGATTTTGGAAGAATTATTACTTGCTAAACACGTATAACAATGAGAAATGACAAGATAAAAACTTGGCCAAATGAACAGTGCATACTAGGCTTCTCTCCTTGTTTGGAATCTTTAGCATTATGTTACGTAAATGTGATATAAGCTATGAATCACAATGTCAATGCATTCATCACTATGCCAGCACAATACATTGTCAGAAGAAATAATGTGAATACATTTTTTTACAGAAAGTGAGAATAGCCGCTCTGAAATGCATTGGTTTGTTTGTCACTCTGCCTACCCATGTGGTAAGTCTGTAATGTATTGGTTTGTTAGTCACTATGCCTACCCATGTGGTAAGTCTGTAATGTATTGGTTTGTTAGTCACTATGCCTACCCATGTGGTAAGTCTGTAATGTATTGGTTTGTTAGTCACTATGCCTACCCATGTGGTAAGTCTGTAATGTATTGGTTTGTTTGTCACTCTGCCTACCCATGTGGTAAGTCTGTAATGTATTGGTTTGTTAGTCACTATGCCTACCCATGTGGTAAGTCTGTAATGTATTGGTTTGCCTACCAATGTGGTAAGTCTGTAATGTATTGGTTTAATCACTATGCCTACCCATGTGGTAAGTCTGTAATGTATTGGTTTGTTAGTCACTCTGCCTACCCATGTGGTAAGTCTAATGTATTGGTTTGTTAGTCACTCTGCCTACCCATGTGGTAAGTCTAATGTATTGGTTTGTTTGTCACTCTGCCTACCCATGTGGTAAGTCTGTAATGTATTGGTTTGTTAGTCACTCTGCCTACCCATGTGGTAAGTCTGTAATGTATTGGTTTGTTAGTCACTCTGCCTACCCATGTGGTAAGTCTGTAATGTATTGGTTTGTTAGTCACTCTGCCTACCCATGTGGTAAGTCTGTAATGTATTGGTTTGTTAGTCACTCTGCCTACCCATGTGGTAAGTCTGTAATGTATTGGTTTGTTAGTCACTCTGCCTACCCATGTGGTAAGTCTGTAATGTATTGGTTTGCTTGTCACTCTGCCTACCCATGTGGTAAGTCTGAAGTGCATCTACACTTACTTTACAGATATATCCTCGACAAAAGGAAGTAGTCAGGAGATTGGCATCCGTTTTAGATGACAGGAAAAGACTTGTCAGACAACAAGCAGTAACAGCAAGGGGACTGTGGTAAGTAATATATTCAGATTAGGTTTGTAATACTTGGCTGTACATTTGAAATGCAATAGTACAAGGCACTGGATGACGATTTCCATCTTGCATCCGTAGTTGCAATACTCAGTTATGTCATTTTATTTACGTTACAGGTTTCTACTTGAAGCACCAAAGAAATGAAATGCAATTACCAGTTTCCTCTCTGATTATCATCTGATTTTTCACTTCATTTTTCATTGTAGTTACAACATAAATCATGTTCTGAAATTCATTCAATTTATTGGTTAAGTGTATTGCAAAATACAACAAATATTTTACTGAACATTTGTGTCTTGTTTCATCTCTATTCATCAAGTTACTGCTAAATTGACATTTATTCTGCATCCACTTCTAAATACATCACTGGTTTCAGACAACTCAAATGTGTTTTGCTGTACATAGTTTTTTTTTTGCTTCTTCTTTTTGACTTGTATGTTTCTTTTTACACCATTTCATAGGCTAATAAAATATTATTACAGGTACACATCATGGAGGCCACAGATATTTTAAAATACCGGAAGAAATAAATAAAATATTCATTGTCTAAATTGAAAGTCTCTGTAAAGACTAAAACACAAAACCTATAATCAGCTTCCATGTTTTTGAAATGTTACGACAAGTCATTTCACCAATCCACTGTAACATTAGACAGCTGTCTTTTCTATATCTTCACAAGTGATGTGAAATGTATTTGAAATGCCCAATGTTTTCTACTTTGGGAAGGTGGTAACCATAAACCACATACATGTTAGTCTGCATCCAATGTCGTATTGACAAGTTTTTAAATATTTAAAATCAATAACATTACACTTACAAAAAAAAGTACTGTAAAATACTTTATTTTAGCTGAATAACTTTTTGGGTGTTTTGTATTTTTGACAAGTTGAATGTGTAAAATATAGAAAAAAAGGTATATTCACTGGATTTTATTTTCACAGATCATTCCTTCAGCGAAAATAAAGTATTTTACAGTACTGTAATTGTTAGCAATAACACTGATGGTTGTTTCACAATGGAATTGTATAAAAGGTTGCTAACAATTATTAAAGTCCTAGTTTGACAGTTGAGTCAAAGCATATATACCGGTACAAGGCAGAAATTGATACGTCTAAAAAAACCTTTCAAATAAGCTGCTCTCTGATTGGTCTGAACATCTGGGCTGGGTAGCCAATCAGACATTGACTCAAGTTTGATGCAATACTTTTCAACTATACACTGGAAAATACAAAATGGCTGACATCACAAGTATTGATTCCTCAGCATGCTTGACACTTGATTTCTCGTGCAAAAAATTGGTTGAATATTTATTAATGGATACAAAAATAAATATCTTAACTATAATTGTTTTATCATGACTGAGGAAGAGAGAATCTATTTGCTTTCATCCTCATTAGTAATAGTGCCGGGCTCCACCGAGTCAGATACACTTTGAAGCTCTTCATTTTCCGTTTGTTTTTTGGATGTTTCCTCCAATGAAGATTGGTTTTCCCCACTACAGCCAGCAACAGGAGCTTCTGACACTTTAGTTGAACTGAAATAAACATAAATAAACTAAACTCTAAGTGAATGTTTCAACTATAGGGTCATTTTAGATACTTTAATTGCTATGATATCAGTGTCAGGTGGGGTTGCTAGGATACCAGTGTCAGGTGGGGTCATCACAAAGTTGCAGTCGTTCATGCACACTGATAGAGCACAAAAATAACCTACATTAAAAATTGTGACAAAATGGCAGCAAATTATCTTAAAATCCTATTACAAGAATCCACTTAGTGTGCAACAGGTACTACTTACTGTTCATTGCTTTAACACATGCAACATCAGAATATGGATCTACACCATTCCACCAACCTCATACATGAAAGAATGCCTGACAACTTACCTTGCTGGTTTTTTCTTCAACACTGTAGCTACTGACTGCAGAATATCATGATGTGCTGTCTGCATATGTCTAATCAACGTAGCTTCTTTGGCGTATTTCCCATTACAGTATCCACATTTTAAACTTTCAACACTGGAATGCACACTTCGCAAGTGTCGATTTAAATCCCCTAATATAGAAAAAGAATACCAAGCATCAAATACGTTAAACTTACTGCATTTATTTTTCATGATATATGGCAGATTTCAAAAATAGCTGGCTCTGTCTATGCATCGCGTTCCATCCATGACACTTGGATGGTTGAACTGGTATTTACTTTCATGAAACATCCTACACTTCGAAATTGTATTATATGAAGCAAGATTATACTTGAATTCAGATGAAGATGAGATACATCAAACATACACATATAATTCCCATGAAATGTAAATGTTTGTTCTTTGACAAGTGTGCAATCTAGACTGGTTTACACAGGTTTTGCTGTACCAGAAATAATAATATTTCTCTGCTACAGCAATACACATTGGCACATTCAATACTACAATTAAACTCCCCATAGACAACAATGAACGAATTTGAAAAGCCAGGTTAATTTCACACCCAGTCTAAACGACAAACTAAAATGGATTTTGTACTTGCAACATTGGAAAAGTTGACTTCGTTCAGTAACAAAACTGTCACTAAAATTCCACACAAATCCAAATTTGCTTATTCTTGTATCATATTCAATAACACTGTTCCAAATACAAGCATTCCATTCCTTACAAAAAGTTCTTTTCAAAATTCAGTAGATTACATCGTGCCTAATTGTGTCCCAACACCTAGATATAAATTCAAATTGTGGTCTGAAACCTACATACCTGATTGAAAAAATGCTGTCATACATACATGGCATTGAAAAGGTTTCTCTTTAGTATGAAATCGAATATGAACAGTGAGATCAGACTTCCTGATAAACCCCTTAGCACACAGCTGACACCGGTAAGGTTGGCTACCATCATGAATATGTACATGTCTCTTCAAATCACACTTCTGGAGAAATTTACGTTCACAAAACTCACACTTATATCTGTGATCATTCTGTCAAGAAAATAATTCATTTGGCTGTAAATTTTCCCTTCTGAGCACCAAAATCAACTCCAGGCACCATTCGCAAAATAGTTCCATTTGTAGTATGCTTTTTTTCCCCACACAGAAAATGTGACAAAA